TATATCATGACACCATGAATCAGAATACTTAATCCTAAATTCCCAGGAGAGAGTCTGATTGGCCCCTCGTGGGCAGAGGATAGGGCTGTGGGTGACATGAGTAGGTGGCATGCAGGGCCTCTGCTGCTCTGTACCAGGTGCCAACATAAAAAAGACGCCCCCCTGCTCCCCTGGCAGGCTTGGCACTTTAGATGGAAGGAAAGGTGCTCCTTCCCTGGATTTTAGCTCTTCGCCCCTCTGGCAGGTAACTCGTCCGTGTGTGTCCGCTAGCCCGCTGGCTCCGGCACAGCTCTGTGGCAGTGGGGCATTTCCCAGGGGAGAGTGTGGTTGGGCAGATCCCAAATGGTTTCTCTCATTCAGCAAATGCCTGTTATTGGGTAAATAACATCTTGCTAATTTGTTATTTATTTGTTTTTAATTTTTACAAGAGTTTGAATCAAACCGAGGACATATGCCAGGAGCAAGATCTCAGATGCTCCCAAAAAAATGATAGTTTTGCAGCTTTTTTATGCATCTGAGATGAAGGGGGAATATAAGAAAGATTACATGAGGATGGGAGAGAGCAAGGGGGGGCCTGGATTGCAGGATCATTAACAAGATTGTGTGCTCTCTTGAGGGTGGTATTGGCTCATATCAAATGTGTGTAAACCTAGATGCATAAAAACAATGGACAGGGCTTACTTAAAGCAAAGACAAACCTTTTACTAAAACATTTTAAGTCTGGGGGTGGCTGCCCACCATGACCTGCCCACTTAGGAATTTATGATCAGATCACCTTGCAAGGATACTTTCCAGGCCCTTTTTTTGTCCACAGTTCCCCATTTTGGTCCTAAGTCAGTCTAAAGAATACATTGATGACCAGACTTTTAGTTGGATCATCTAATCTGTAATTGGCTTCTTTCAAAGTGTACCGCAGAGATTAAAATTAACATATTAAGTATTCTGATTCATGGTGTCATGATAATTCATGGGGTCTGAAGAGTTAAAATTGTACATTGATATTAGCAGAGTTCTTGGAGCCAAGTACTCAGCCAAATATCCTTAAGTAGCTTGTCTATTTGTGAAGAAAATACATTCCAAGAGGAGGTCTTCCCTTAGAGTTCAGTAAAAACCACAGAATGATAAATGTTATTTCTAAAAGATTTTCATCTGTGGGCATAGGAATAGGGCAGTGATGGCGAACCTTTTGAGCTCGGCGTGTCAGCATTTTTAAAAACCCTAACTTAACTCTGATGCCGTGTCACATATAGAAATTTTTTGATATCTGCAACCGTAGTAAAACAAAGACATACTTTTGATATTTATTTTATATATTTAAATGCCATTTAACAAAAAAAAATCAACCAAAAAAAATGAGTTCACGTGTCACCTCTGACATGCATGTCATAGGTTCGCCATCACTGGAATAGGAGAAAGTTGATGGCTCCTGGGGAGAGGAGAGCTGGACTGGGAGGAGGGACAGGCCTTGTGACTTCTGCTGCAGTGGAATTCATTCGCTCCTTTTTTTCCCAATTATAAGAGAAAGTTTATTTAGAAAGTCACAAGCATAGAAAAAGTGAGCCAGCAGGGTGGGCTCAGGAAAGAAGTTACAGAGGCACAGGAAGGACCTCTGGAGCTGTAAGGTGTCTGGGGGAAGGAGAGGGGAAGGGAAAGGCACAGGCACACTCCAGAGACAGTGTGCCTCATTCACTTTTTTTACTTTTTATTTTTATAAGACTTTTAAAATATATTTTTATTAATTTCAGAGAGAGAGAGAGGGAGAGGGGGAGAGATATAGAAACATCAATGATGAGAATCATTGATCAGCTGCCTCCTGCGCACCCCCTACTAGGAGTTGAGCCCGCAACCCGACATGTGCCCTGACGAATTGAACTGTGACCTCCTGGTTTATAGGTTAACGCTCAAGCATCGAGCCACACCGGCTGAGCATGAGTTTTTATAAGAGTTTATTTGAGCCAATCTGACGGCATATGCCGGGAGCAAGCTCTCGAATGCTCCTTGCTCATTGTTATTGAACAACTGTTTTCTGGATGCTCACTGCGGTGCAGGCCTGTTCTGGTGCTGGGATCCCACAGCGAACCAGACAGCAAAAGTCCTGCCCAGCAGTGAGTGGACTGGGAGCAACCAGTGCACTTCTGGAGACAGAGCGGATCTTTCCAAACATGCAGACCTGTGGGTACTCCAGTGTAGGCGCCAGACCAGCTTCCACCTGGCGCACCCCCCACCAACCTCCCGCCGCCCCCACAGCGTGACAGTTACATTGACAGTCCTAGTCCCAAGGGAAGGGACGCAGCGAGGAGCACGGGCAGCAGAGGCTGAGAACTCAGGTGCCGATGCTCAGCACCCACTCGGGCCCACCGGGGGGCCGTGACACGCGGGCCCACCGGGAGCTGTGACACACGGGTCCACCGGGGGGCTGTGACACACGGGCCCAAAGGTGCTGAGAGGAGACACGCCTCTGCAGACCCAGCCATGGTGTCAGACACGCCCGTGCTCTATACCCTCAAATGATGGCAGATTTTCCAATGTTGACATTACATTAGATTGTTTTTCTTTTCACTCTTCTGTATTGTGAAATAGAACACATTTAGAAAAAAATGCACAAAACAGCCGAAACCGGTTTGGCTCAGTGGATAGAGCGTCGGCCTGCGGACTGAAGGGTCCCAGGTTCGATTCCGGTCAAGGGCATGTACCTGGGTTGCGGGCACATCCCCAGTGGGGGATGTGCAGGAGGCGGCTGATTGATGTCTCTCTCTCATCGATGTTTCTGACTCTCTATCTCTCTCCCTTCCTCTCTGTGAAAAATCAATAAAATATATTAAAAAAAATGCACAAAACATAAATGTACAGCTAAATAATTATAGAGCAGATACCCATCCATTTAGCCACTCAAGAAATAAAACGTTACCACCACCCCCAGAAACACCCTCTTCCCTGTGCCTCTCCTGACTTTCATGGAGATCTCTGTCTTGCTTTTCTCTTTTTTTCCCTTGGTTTTCTTTATAGTTTTACTCCTTAGCGTCTGCATGGATTTTGATTTATTTGACTGTTTAGTAGCTAAGAGTCATTCCAGGTCCTGTCCGATAAATAAGAGGGAGAGCATTTTCTCAAAACAAAAGGTGTGCGCTCTGAAGGGTCAGGATGGTGTTCTTCTGTGTCGTGTGAACGGCGAACGAGGCGTATTGGTGGAATTCCCAACGTCGTGTCCTGGCCACATTGCCGTCCATACAAATTCTGGTTTCTCTATTTTTCTGTTGATCTCGTTATCTCAGAGTCCCGTGCATAGCCTTGCCCTGTCCCAACTTCTGTGTGTTTTGTTTCTTCCTGGGAGTGGCCCTGAGTGTCCCCCCGGAAACGTTTGTGAGGAGCCCCAGGCCTCTCCTCAGCACATGTCCGCTGGGAAGAGATCCCCTAGGGTGGGAGGGTGTGGAGTGACATTCTGGGGGAAATACATGAAAACTGGAGAATTTCCCCCAGGGTTTTCGTACTAAGAACTTATTGTCTGTCTGCTAGAACGGTGTAAGGTCTGCCCTGCCCTGCTAATGGCAGGATGAACCAGGGGACCGTCTCCGACGCTGTAAGGACAGAACTAACATGAGCTTAGCTGGTCAGGCGTTGCCAGGTCTACATGAGCACCCACACGTGAACGGTTGGTGAGAACATTGCACTTAGGCCAGGGTCACAGTTTAAGGCGCCTGTGGAGATGGTTAGGCTGAACTCTTAAGTCCACTATACAAAATAGAAAACTGAAGAAAAGACTCTGAAAACCTGAGGCATGATGAAGTAGCATAACACAGAGGATTAAAAGTGGAAACTAGTTTAAAAGCCCTTTATTGTCTTACCTTAAATGCTGTATAAAGGTAACAGATGTTTTTAATGAAAAAGAACTTGGAGTCCTCAAACATCATCCAGCCTTAGCTGTTTTGGCTCAATGGATAGACCGTCGTCCTGCGGACTGAAGGGTCCTGGTTTCGATACTAGTCAAGGGCACATGCCCAGGTTGCGGGCTTGATCCCCAATAGGGGGCGTGCAGGAGGCAGCCCATCAATAATTCTCTCTCATCATTGATGTTTCTCTCTCTCCATCTCCCTTCCTCTCTAAAATCAGTAAAAATATATTTAATAATAATAATAATAAAATAAGTTTTTAAAAAAATCATCCAATTCATCTTCCTCATGTATAGAAAAGAAGCCCACAACAGTTTAAATATCAGATTAATGTTTCTAATAACATTTGCTTAGGCCAATGTTTGATTGAGTTTACATTTCCCCGTTACATGCCACCTGATGTTGACATGAAGCAGGTAAGATGTACTTTACACCCTCTGCACAGAAGAAAGTGGGTGTAGACAGTCCATCTGGGGTTGGCACACGGGCCCTGGCCAGGTGCTCGAAGCCAATGCAGACACCACGTCAGGACTGACCGTCAGGGTCGTAGTCCTTGCAGGTGGCATATAAAATTGCCGGGATGGCCCTGACCGGTGTGGCTCAGTGGATAGAGTGTCGGCCTGCGAACTGAAGGGTCCCCGGTTCGATTCCGATCAAGGGCATGTACCTTGGTTGCGGGCACATCCCCAGTGGGAGATGTGCAGGAGGCAGCTGATCGATGTTTCTCTCTCATCGATGTTTCTGACTCTTTATCCCTCTCCCCTCCTCTCTGTAAAAAATCAATAAAATATATTTTAAAAAAATTGCCGGGGATGGAAAGAGTTCTGGCGCAGCTTGTGTCTGAGCTCCACAAGCGTGGTCCCCCGAGCAGAGGGCGGTCTGCTGTCCGTCCGGCTCCCGGCTAACAGGTCTGAAAGGCCAGGGTGCCTGCAGGTTTGAGGTACTCTTCATTCTCCAGTGTGAAAGGAGAGCGTGTTAGGACTTCTGTTTTGATTTGTAATCTAAGCTGAAGGTAATGCCAGGTAGGCATTAACAGACGTGGTTGGCGTTAAGTAATCTATTAAAGCTTTTACTCATGAAATTAATGTTTCCATCTTGGCAATGTTTTGACAGGCTCAGAAGAAATGTTTGAATCAGACTTGCCCCATTTCTGCTTCCAAGACCCCCGATGGCCTGAGGCAAGCACAGATTCCTGGCCTCCTGGGCACCGCACTGCCAGGTCAGGAGCCTTCGTCACAAGCTCCCCTTAGCTCGTCCCTGTCTCCCGACACCCAGGACACTTCTCGCATCCCTCCTCCTGCATGCAGTCTTTCTGACGCACTCGCACCTCTACTCTGATCATTCCTTTCTTCTCTATCCTTTTCACGTTGCACCTGTGGCATCATTCCATACACCACTAAGCAAGAAAAAAGCGCTTCTAATTAAATTATGTGAAATAATGTGCTGCTCAGAAACAACACAATCTAGTGTTCTGTGGCACAGGTGGCTTTGTAGTTATCCTTGTGCTGCTTCCTATATGTGGATTTAGAATCCCACCGAGACTAAAATATTGTGCCAGTATCTCCCTTTTTCTAAAGCTTCAAACACCTGCATTGCTCAGTAAGCACTAGAAAGACAAAAGCATGAGCGCGCCTAGCCAGTCCCCTCCTTGGGCCTCCCTTTCTTTCAGCTGCGAGTGTTTGCGTTTGGGAATGCTGGCAGATTACTAGCTTGAGGCCTGTTCCCCAGACCATAGGTCATTTGACACTGGAGCATTGGCAGCTTTTGTTTATTTACGTGTGTATTTATTTCTGCTTATTATTCTAACTGGGCTTTACCAATCCCCGCCTCTGCCCCCAGAGGCTTTGTCGATAAATGTACTTCCTGCTCCCCTTCCTCACATCAAGCATCCATGATAAGGAAGCCCTTTCGGAAAGTTCCGTAACCTGTGCGCACCGTGTCCAGGGTTGTACGATGGGCCTGCTTTACTGTTCCTGTTGAACATTGTCTTTCTTGTGTGTTCATTCAAATAGGGCAGGATTCTGGAGGCAAAGTTATATCCGCATCCGTAGGAACCGCACAACCTCAGCAGGACATCGTGGGATGCTCTCCTGGCCAGCCGGCTGTGCAGGTAGAACACAGTTTACAAAGCTTCTTTCAACATTCAGTGTCATTGAACGGAAATGTGTGATCACCTGCGTGCTCACTGCTGCCGGCACTGTCTCCACAGTCAGCCCGGTGCCTGCGTGACCACAAACGTGCTCACTGAAGACCTTCCCCCAGGTCCCGGCCTTGCTATGTTGACGTTTATGGGATAAATGTGTCTGTTCTGCTTCTCACATGTTCACAGTGCTATCACGTTTTCATCAATTAATAGTATACCAGCAGCCAACACAGAGTAGGCGCTCAAAATATGTAGTTTACTATTGAATGATATCACTTACTATCATATCAAAGTGGATTATTCCTCTTAGTTATACTGAGATATTTTTTTTCTGCAGTAACAACCAGGAGTGCATGAAGTAGTCCCTATGGTCTTTTAACTCAACACTGATCTAAAAAGGAAGGGAAAAAAGTTGTTTTCAGCTTACGAAGGCCTCAGTTTCTTCTCCATCAGACTTAGCAATCCGTGATAGTTTAGTGAAACTTGTTGTAGTCCGAGTCTGCCTGGCCCCCTCAGGGAAGGATCTGGTTCATTCTCAGGTTCCTTAACATTATAGAAACGCCTACTAGATTACACTCCTAACTATGAAGGAGCTCAAAGTGTTTTCTCCCTTATTTATCACTGAGAAGATGAACTCAGTGATGTCTACTGAATTTTCAGATGTTCATGGAGTTGGTACCCACAAATATACTTCCTCAGAAATACAAGGATGCACTCGCAGAGGGAGGTGAGAATTCAGGCTTTAAGGTCTAGGCTGAGTCCTCCCAAGGAGCTATAGCACAGCTTTCATGATCTGACACAGTGCCACTCCGCCACACGCGTCTTTGTGCTTTCAGAGCAAATTCTGCATCCTTAGAATACGCTCTCGATAGCGAGTTGAAAGTACTCAAAACATGGTGACCTTTATGTGTAACTGCATCCTGTTTGTGTTTTCAAGAAAAGGGAATAAAAGGTGTGTTTTGTCCGTAGGTGGATGGTCATTCGGGAGGACAGAAGAGGCCTGCCGCAAAACAGCTAACTAAAGGGGCTTTGTGAGTGACCTTGGCTACCACTCATTTTGAACATTCCTCTAGGTTCCTAACCTTCAGTACATATACCACAGAAGTCAGGTTATAATAATACATACGGTATTTGTAAACATATACTTTGAAAATTCATTCCTACAATTTGTTTCCATTAGGACCTATAAATATCTCAAATGTAGTTTGAGGTTACTGTCTGCTCTCTTGTTCTTTTTTTAAAATATATTTTTATTGATATCAGAGAGGAAGGGAGAGAGAGAGAGAGAGAGAGAGAGAGAGAAAGAAACATCAATGATGAGAGATAATCATTGATCAGCTGCTTCCTGCACACCCCCTACTGGGGGTTGAGCCCGTAACCTGAGCATGTGCCCTTGATTGGAATCGAACCCAGGACCCTTCAGTTCACAGGCCAACCGCTCTATCCACTGAGCCAAACTGGCTAGGGATGCTCTTTCGTTCTTAAGGAGAAGTAGCCTTTGCCGTCTCAGTATACCACGTGCCCTGTGGCTGGCCAGGCGTCTCTGAGGGGAGCATGGTTTGATAAACTCCTACGTTCAGAACAGAAGTGTTCGCATAAGCGTGGTTGGCCGTTGCTCAGGCGTGGCCGGTCTGGGTGAGCCCCACGCGTGCGTGGTTGGTAGGAACACTGAGCTTCCGAGGCCAGGGCCCGAGTGTGCCTTCCCTGTGGGTGGTTACCCCGAACTCTGAACCACCCCGGTGTACAAAGTGTGAAACTGTAGGAAACCAGAAGTGCTATACTTTGCACAGTAACATTCCTGTATGTCTTACTCTCTTTGCATGCAAAGGGTCCCGTTCCTTCTCTCTCAGGGAGGGGTTCCGTTTCTTCCCGTGACTCTGCATCAACGTGCAGTCTCTCTCTTGCAGCATCCTCCAGCAGCTGCAGAGGGACCAAGCCCACGCCGTGACGCCCGATAAAAGTCAGTTCCGGTCTCTTGGTGACGCGGTGCAGAGGCTGCTCTCCTACCACGTGTGCCAGGGCTCCATGCCCACGGAGGAGGACTTGAGGAAAGGTAAGCCGCCTGACCCCTCAGCGCCCCCTGGGGGTGCCCCGGATGGTAGCCAGCTGTTGTTTTTATCACAGTTTATTTACTGTTTCCCAGTCTGCGTTTAGGGTCGCGGCTTATTCTTCTCAGTATTCTGGCCCACGTGCCAGAGGCTTTTATGGACACGTCTTGGGGGCGGTAAAGGCACAGCATTGTTCGGGCTGCTGGCTGCAGAGGGGACGGCTCTGCCCAGCGCCTCGGGCGGAGTCCTCCTGTGTAGGCGAGTGCACACCCTTAGCTCCCACTACCAGTTCTATGAGTTGCATCAATCCTTCAGCCCCAGACATTCTCACAGGTTCCAAAGTGAGTCCAGGGCATTGCTGTTTGTCAAGAAACTGGCAAAAAGGGGCTAAGGATAAGTTCCTTGTCCCAACCTGGAACTCAGCCCAGTCTCCCTCCTGACCCGCTGCCTCCCCAGCAGTGCAGCTCACCTAGCTCTGCCTCCCTCCCACCACCATGCCCAGGCTGCCTGCAGAGTTCCCCCACTGCTTGCATCCTCTTCAGCTGCCAGGCTCGCTCCCACAGGAAAGGTGAACCGGCCGTAACCCCACAGGCCACTGGGACACCAGGGGTCTCTGAGCTGAGCTTCGTGGTCTCGGTCCGTCCATGTGAGCTTCCTGGGGAGGCGCCGGTCCAACATTGGGCAGGGGCGTGAAGACTCTCAGAGTGAAGTAGAAATGTGAGACCTTGGGGACCAGCCGACAAGGACAGAGCCATGGCACCATGGCCTGCAAGGGACCATGAGCTAGTTTGTCTTTCGATAACACTGTCTGCCCAGTCCAGACAGTAGGACTTCATTGTCCCAGCTGCTAACTTTTTTATATGATTGGCAGGGAGGGAGACTTGATATTTGTTGCTGGTCTGTGTGATATTATTTTCTTTTAGAGGTGATGTTAAAAATACTATGTTTTTGGATTCCTTTTTTTTTTAATCCTCACCTGAGGGTATTTTTCCAGAGAGAGGGAAGGACAGAGAGAAATATTGATGTGAGAGAAGCACATCGATTGGTTGCCTCCTGCACATGACCTGGGCCCAGGCTGGGGAGGAGCCTGCAAGCAAGGTACGTGCCCTTGACCGGAATCGAACCCAGGACCCTCCGGTCTGCAGGCCGACTCTCTTTCTACTGAGCCAAACCGGTGAGGGCTGTTTTTGGATTCTTAGTTAAAATTAATAGAAGCTGGTACTGAGCTCAGTTCCCACAGTCACAGACCGGTGGGCAGTGAGGGAAGGCAGCGCAGAAGCACAGCGCTCAGTCACGGAAAAGCTGACTGAGAAGAGGAAACGGCCACAGACAGGGCCTGTTTGAACAGGGGAAGGATAATGCATGTCAGCCCTGAGAACTGAAGACCTACGGGTGATTGGCACCCTTACTATTTCTCTCTCTCTTCTTACAGTCGACAATGAATTTGAAACAGTTGCCACTCAGCTCCTAAAAAGGACCCAAGCTATGCTTAACAAGTACAGATGCCTGCTCCTGGAGGATGCCATGGTAAACGCTGCGGCAAGCACATTTGGTTCTTAAACCCTGCAGGTCACAGCTACTGGTTCAGAGAGGAAAACTTCAGGAATTACGTTTCCCCGGCGTAGTTTAAAAGCACAGATATTTAAGTTTGCAGAAAACCTGACACTTGACTGTTACACCACCAGCAGCAGGTGGTATCTATTGCGCGATACCTGGTTGCTCACCGTCCGTGCTCCTGTGATTGTTCCAAATGAGGAACCCAGGCTCTTTAAGTAATTCACCCAGGATCATAGCTAGTGAGTCTGCCGGGCAACTAGCAGAGCCCGATGCAGCGCAGCCCCCTGGCCTGGCCCACTCTGATGTTGTGTGCTGCCCCGCCCCAGCCCAGAGCGGGGAGGCCGGGGGCACCGCCAGGGAAGGTTCACAGCGGCAGCTGGACAGACGAGGTGATGACAGGTGCTACAATTAGTTTTGTCTTGTTTTTATTTGATTGTTAGCCTGTCATAAAATTCACGCTTAATTTTCAAATGTACAACCTGACGGTTTTTAGCATATTCACAAGATTGTGCAACCATCACACTGTCTAATTCCAGAACATTTTCAACACCTCAAATAGGAACTAGCCTTGCTTTTAAAGCACCAGTTAGAGAAAGGAGTAAGGTATCTCAGGGAATGATGGAAAGAGTAAACCTAGTCTGAGATTTTAGCAGTTCTAAAAACATGTGGGCGTTACCTATAAACTGGTCTCTTTCAGTGGTTTTCAGTGTGAGATCAACTTTGGAAATGTTCTGTGGAGGATTAATTGAACTACATTATACATGTACACAGTATTGTGTAAATACGTAGATATGTTTGTGCTTATATATGTACTAGAGACCCGGTGCACGACATTTGTGCACTGGAGGAGGGAGAGGTCCCTTAGCCCGGGCTGCGCCCTCTCGCAGTCCGGGACCCCTCACTCCTTACCACCCGCCTGCTCACTGCTCCTTAGCACTGCTGCGGGAACGGGAGAGGCTCCCGCCACCGCTGCTGCACTCGCCAGCCGTGAGCCTGGCTTCTGGCTGAACGGCGCTCCCCCTTTGGGAGTTCACTGACCACCGTGGTCAGCGTGCATCATAGCAACCAGTCGTTGTGGTTGTTCCACCCTAATGGTTGCTTAGGCTTTTATTATGTGTGCGTGTGTGTGTGTGTGTGTGTGCGTGTGTGAGTGAGTGTGAGTGTATCACATTTCTAATATATTTTTACTTAAAAGTATGCATCCAAAATCTGAAATAGTTGTTCTTTTTGTTGTTGCTGCTGTTAATCCTTACCAGAAGATATTTTTCCATTGATTTTTAGAAAGAGTGGATGAGAGAGGGAAAGACAGAGAGAAACATTGATTGGTTGCCTCCTGCACGCACCCTGACCAGGGCCCAGGTCAGGGTGGATCCTGCAACTGAGGTACATGCCCTTGACTGGAATTGAACCCAGGACCCTTTGGTCCACAGGCCAATGCTCTATCCACTGAGCCAAACCGGCTAGTGCTGAAATAATTGTTCTTATGTTGATAACCATTTCTAAAACAAAATTGTGAGATGTCAAAAAGACTATCATTATTGAGGAAAGGACCACTTGTTTGGTCAAATTGTATCTGCCATGAGTTTTCATGTTAAATAAGACCCAGAAATGTAACTTCAGATTTGATTCTTTATGGCACAAACTAATTTTAAGGAAAGCCCTAAAAAAATCCCAAATTGAAGCATAGCAGAGTGCAAAGTTAAAAGGTCATTCTAAGGAAAAGATTTCCAACATGTTAGCAGAAGGGGAATAAGAAAGGTACAAAACAGCATGTATTGTTGCTACCATTTGTGTGCAAAATATAAAAAAGAGAGAACATAATGTGTGTATGTGCATGATCTGTCTCTAGAAGAGTGTATTAAACTGCTAGGCACGGGGTGCCTCCAGGGAGAGATACTGGGAGTGGGAAGGGCACGGGGGGGAGGCAGAGAAGAAAGGTTTACTTTTCACATCCCCTTTAGTACCAATGAGTAGATTACCTTTCCCCCCAAAATACTATTTTATTTATTTGTACATTTTTAATTTTATTTTCAAACCTGTATGATTTTATTAATTGGTGTCTCCCCAATAAATTCAACGAGAGAGAGAGAGAGAGAAAAACAGAGATAAAAAGATAAGATGATATGTCCATCATTGCCCCGGGAGTACTCACCTCATTTAGGTAAAAATACAATTTTAAAAAAATGCATCCTAGCCTGGCCAGTGTGGTTCAGTGGTTGGGCATCGACCTATGAACCAGAAAGTCACGGTTCAATTCACAGTCAGGGCTCTTGCCCAGGTTGTGGCTCGATTCCCAGTGTGGGGCATGCAGGAGGCAGTCGATCAATGATTATATCTCATCATTGAAGTTTCTCTCTCTCCCTCTCCCTTCCTCTCTGAAATCAATTAAAAAATAAGAACAAAAAAACAAAAAATTTTTTAAGAAATGCATCCTATGTGGCAAGGAAAAATTTGACTTTATGGGACACCTGGAACTTAGACATTAAACTCTCATTTCTGGCTGCTTCCGTCCCAAAGATTCAGGGAGATGCTTGCGCTTGTTAAAGGGCACCTGGGATGACTGGCCTCTCTCCTTTTCAGCGGATTAATCCCTCGGCTGAGATGGTGATGATCGACAGAATGTTCAACCAGGAGGAGAGGGCGTCCCTGTCCCGGGACAAGCGGCTGGCACTTGTGGACCCTGGTAAGTCATGTGGGTGGAAAGCCGCCGTCGGGTATCAGGGTTCTCTCCTTCGAGTGTTCCGTTGATTATTCAGGAAGTTTTTCTGTATTTTAGATGTAATTCTAGTTCCTTCCTGGGAGCATGTCCATGTAGCATCCACTTACTCTGCCGCCATTTTTAATCCTCGAGATATGGATTCTATATTTTATGAGGTCACGAGGCATGGGGAGATGTTTCTGTTACACAAGTCTCTGCACCACAAATGCCCGTCATTGGCTGCTGCCTGACTGACACCCAATACTTTCCATGCGCACGGTTCTCCAGGGAGCAGGCAAACTTGGTGCTTTGCCCAACAGTCCTATTTTACCTTCAAATTACTATCTGTTTCTTTCCATCCTCATCACATCGATTTTTCGATTAGTAAGATGGCAAATTTCTTGTTTGTTTTGTTAATCCTCACCTGAGGATATTTTTCCATTGATTTTTTTAGAGAGAGTGGAATGGAGGGGGAGAGACAGAGAAACACTGATGTGAGAGAGAGACATCGATTGGTTGCCTCCCGAATACCCCAACCTGGGCAGGGAATCGAACCCATGACCCTTCAGTCTGCAGGCCCATGCTCTATCCACTGAGCTAAACCAGCCAGGGCAGTAAGATGGCAATTTCATCACAGCATTTGAAAATACTAGTACAATCATATAACGCCGGTGCTGGACCAATGATGGCTTGTGCTAACCAGTTTTAACTAGAAGGTAAGCACCAATAGAAGGATAATATAAAAGGCTGCATGAAAAAAAAAGAAAGAAAGAAAGATTACTGAAAACAAGATAATTCTTTCCTGGACAGGACGCATGTCGGCCTGGCAGAGTGCAGCTGGTTATTGCAGGTCCCCACGTGTGTCTTAGGGCCTGACGCGCCATCACCCAAAGGCACAGTCCCTCACACCCACCCCTGCCCAGCCGCCTCCTGGAGCTCGCTGCTCCGGGGAGGAAACGGTGGCACTGCATCTCATTTGTTCAGAGCAGTCCCTGTGACAGACTCAG